ACTGAGCTCTTGGGCACAGGGCAGTGATTTCTTGATCAGTATCTGGAATGGCTGGGCTAGTGGTACAGGCAGCAGTGTCCAGTGCTTAGTGTTGGTGGCGATGATGGTGTCCTTCCTCTGACATCCTGTCCTTGCATTCTGTGATGTGATACAAGCAGGATGCTGGCCTTATAGCTCGTCTAATTCTTTAGTGTTTTTGGTAGGTCTGTGAACTTAAACTTGCTAGAGTTTGTTTCTTTTGCTTTCTGCTGAAAATCTTGATACACCCTGAGGGACCTGGCTTCCACCAGTCTCTTACAGTCTGGTGACATACTCTCCCTCTTTCAAGGTGATAGGCATAATCTTGCCTTAGTGCCTTGACACATGCTGTTCTCTCTACCTGGAACATCTCCCCACCTCTCTCTATTTACCCATGGACTAATATCTATTCATTCTTCGAGTTTCAGCTTGCACGTCACCTTCCCTGCCTTGCCCCCAGCCTAGGCTCAGTCCTCCTGTTACATGCTTTGGCTACGTTGGGATTTTCCTTTGTAGCATTTCATCACAGTTGGAATAAGGTTCTCTATGATGTGAAGTTGTGTGTCATTCCAGGGTTCTGGCATACAGTGTGGGCTAAGGAAAAATAAAGTCCTCTTCCCACACTTTCTAGGGACCTCTGTCCTACCTTAATAGCCCTCTGCTAGATACTGCTCAGACTCTATCAAACTTCCTGAATCTCAAGGAATATTTTCATTCAGGTGCAAGTAACAGATATCCCAACTCAAGTGGACTTAAGCAAAATAGTGAATATATTGAGTTATGCAATTAAAAATGTTTATTAATTTTGAGAGAGAGAGAGAGTGAGAGTGTGTGGGAAAGGCAGAGAGAGAGGGAGAGAGAGAGAAAATCCCAAGCAGGCTCCTCGCTGTTAGTGCAGAGCCCTATGTGGGGCTTGAATTCATGAACTGTGAGATCATGACCTGAGCTGATACCAAGAGTTGGACGCTTAACCAACTGAGCCAAACAGGCACCCCTGGCTTATGCAATTTTAAAGTCCAGGGGTGGTTCAAGCTTTGGGAACAGCTAAATCAAGACTGTCTCTCTTTTACTTTCTTCCTTCTGGCTCCATTCTGTGGCAGGTGCTCCCCAAGAAGTAACAAAGAAGGCTCACAACAGCTCTGGGGCTCAACCCTTCCCATTTAGCAACTTCTTCCCAATTGTTCTAGCCAAAGCCAGATGTGGTCATCTCCACCCAGACCATACCAGCTGAAGGTGGGATTCATCAAGGAAGAAGGTAAATAGAGTCCAGGAGACCCAAACAAGGTGTGGTTACTAAGTAATTCTGGAAGCCTTTCTGCATAATAAAGTATTCCCACAAATAGTGACTTAAAACATTTACTATTTGTCAAAATTCTGTGGATTAGGTGGGCTCAGCTTGGCAGTTCTCTGGCTAGTCTCGTCTGAGGTTGCTTATGCTGGTGCTTCCCTGTGCTGGATGATCTAAGATGGTCTCTTTCACACACGTGGCCTGGCTGCTGGCCTTTCTCTCCACGTGGCCTCTCATCTCCACTTGGTCTAGACCAGAATTCTTTTAAAGTGGCAGAAGTGGAAGCTGCAGGGCCTAAGTCCTAGCCTTGAAAGTTGCAAAGTGCCACATCACAGCAGATTCTGATCAGAGCAAGTCCCAAGGCTGGCTCAGGCTCTACATCTCGATGGCTAAAGTGAGACATTCACATTGACAAAGGGCACAGATGCAGGAAGGCAAAGATTCATGAGATTCATGAGAGGTCATTACTGAAACGATTTACTGTGCTCCCTCTCTCCTAGGTCCTTTCACTTACTCTCCTCCCAACCTCAGTCCTCTGACCTTGATAAGCATTGGAGGCTCAGCTCCTTCAAAATGTCTGTGAAATGATAGCAATGGTCCCTACTAGCCCATATCCACTCTTAACTTTCCATTAATTGACTCCACCACTAAGCAGTTATTAAAAGAATCACAGTGCTCTGCTATGATGAGACACGGTGACTGCCCTCAAAGAGTTTCTAGTCTAAAAGAGAAAGAATTGAACAGATCATAACATAGGATATTAAGGGCAATGTTAGAGGAGGCACAGGGCACAGAAGAGCAGCCAATTTAGCCTTGGAAGTTAATGATCTTCTTTTTTTTTTAAAATGTTTTATTTATTTATGAGAGAGAGAGAGACTGCGTGAGCAGGGGAGGGTCAGAAGGAGAGGGAGTCACAGACTCTGAAACAGGCTCCAGGCTCTGAGCCGGCAGTCAGCACAGAGCCCGACGCGGGGCTCGAATCCATGAACCGCGAGATCATGACCTAAGCGAAAGTCGGACGCTTAACCGACTAAGCCACCCAGGCGCCCCGGAAGTTAATGATCTTCTTAGGTAAGTGGAAGTCACTAGGTTGATGGAGAAGCTAAAACATATATTAGTACTCCTGAGAAAAAAGACAAAAGACAGTACTCCTGTTTGTGATAGAAACCCAACTTAAATTGACTTAAAGAAAAAGAGTATTGACTGATAACTAAAAAGTCCTGAGAGCATTACCTTCAGGCCTGTTTAGATCCCGGTGTTCATCAGAAACCAGGCTCTTCCCAACTCTCAGCTGTTTTCCTCTGTGATGATTTAATTTTCACACAGATTGTCTTTATGTAGTAGCAAAGATGGCTACTAACAGCTCCAGACTTATTCTGATTGCCCAGGCTTGGCTCACAAGGTCACCCCTGGAACCAGGGACTGGGGTTAGTCTCCCAGAACCATAGGCTATAAGAGTGTAAGAGAGATGTTACCCCAGGGAAAAGAGTGAAAGAAAGCCCAATGAGTAGGGCCGACATCAGGTGTCCTTCCAGGCAGGTGACTAAACTACAGTCTTCAAACAGTGTCCTCTGGAAGGAAATGTTCTGAGGGAAGGGCAAGATGGCCTTTGGAAGTAGAGGTGCACTAACAAAGACTTGGGAACATGAGGGTCAAATCCCTCCATGGTTATTTCTTGGTTGTGTAAGCTCTGCAAGGTTTTACCTAGGAGTTTCTGCTGTGAAATTGAGCCTTACTCAAGTTGTCTTGAGGGCTAAATGAAATATCGAATACAGGAGCTCAGGAAAAGTCATCTTATTCTCTTCAGTATCCAACCAAACAGTAAGGTCCTGGCGCTGGTCTACTTTGCCCAGCACAAAAAGGAGCGTTCTCCACCTAGTGGCCATCAGGGTCACTGCGCTGTAGCACTGACTTATTTACAGAACCCTCTTGAGATTTCCTTTGGAGCCCCTGGACAGAGGAAGCAGCGTTTGTGGAGGACAGTGAGCCTGGGAGTGCCAGAACAGAGATGTGCCTGCCCTCTCTGTAATGTGGACTTGTATGGGGCAGAGTGGGTGAGATTGTTAGGTGGACAGATGGTCAGAAGGGGAAACTGTTTTTTCCTATTCTATTTGACACTAACGACGGCTGATCAGGTCTGGATAGGGATGGGAATAGCATTTCTGGCAGAGGCTTCTGTGAGGGAAGGGCTTTCTCTGCTACCTGCTTTGGGAAGAACCCCTAACTGCCCATCACTGCCTCTGGAACTTGGGCTCAAACTGTGATTTCTTACAACTTCTACCAGACAGAAAACAGAAGGCTTCAGGTCACATGAAGCTGGTGGCAGGGCTCAGACCAACACCCAAGGACCCTGAATCCCAGAGTAGTGTCCCTCTATATGGCTACATACACAGCTCTGTGTCTGCACTTAGGATTATTACATCCCAACGCCTGCTTTTCATTCAGCTCGGGGCTAAGAGCATTGCATGCTTAATTCCATGGTCTTCTCCTCAGGTGTCACTGGCTGCAGAACCTGAGGTGCCCCTGAGGTTCGTGGGATAAGCTGAGGTTCCCTAGCAGCGAAGGGTGGCTTCTTGCTGGAGCCCAGGGAAGAACCACCTCTGGCCAGCATGTTGCCCTCCTCCCCCCTATCAGATTGAATTAGGTTTCTGGCATTTCATAAATTGAGACTTAATATAGGACTCTGTGCCAGATGCCATCTGCCTCTGTACTCACTTCCCCAGGAAGACCCAGAGATTACTTCAGGCCGATAATAGAAGGAACAGCAGTCATCATTTACATAGTATCTACCATATGTCAGGTATTGTAATTGTTTCATTTGTATCTATTCTTTTTTTTAAAATTTTTAATGTTTTATTTATTTCTAGGAGAGAGAGAGAGACAGTGTGAGCAGGGGAGGGTCAGAGAGAGAGGGAGACACAGAATTTTTTTTGAAACAGGCTCCAGGCTCTGAGCTGGCTGTCAGCACAGAGCCCGACGCAGGGCTTGAACCCACGAACCGTGAGATCATGACCTGAGCGAAAGTCAGATGCTTAACCGACTAAGCCACCCAGGCGCCCCTGTATCTATTCTTTTAATTCCCACAATAACCCATAAGGTAGGTACTAGTGTTTCATCCTTAGGTACAGGTTAGCTCACCACAGGATTGTTAGTTCACCATGATCACACAGCCCCGCAGAGCTAAGATCTGAACTGTGGCTGCCTGGTTCCAGATCCTGATTTTTTTTTCTTTTTTCTTTCTTTTTTTTTTTTCTGTACACTAGACTAGACTGCCTCTCCAGGGCTGATGCCTCTTCTGCCATGAGACCTTCCTTAGCCACCAGAGCCATGAGCAGAAGCTTCCTCTGATGTTTACCTGCTGGATTATGTATTGTGGGTCCTAGGCACTGATATCAGAGACCATTCCAGGCTACAGAAATTAAAATCTGATCTCAGGAACGCTTAGAGTAAGAGGAGCCCTGATTCAAAGTCAATATGAACACTTGGGTTCAAATTCCCACGTGCCACTAGAATGTCCAAAACTAGAAAGACTGACAATACCAAATGCCGGTAAGTTGGTAGAACCACTGTGGAAAGCCATTTGGTAGTATCTAGATAAGTGAAACACACCTATCCTACGACGCAGCAATCCTACTCCTGGATATATGTGTGCACACACCAAATGACACATACAAAAATTTTCACAAGAGCTTTATTTATACTAGTTCAAAACTAGAAATAACCCAATAGTCCATCAACAGAATGGCTAGATTGTGGTATATTCATATAATGGACTACTACAGAGCATGAAAAAAAGGAACTTCTGACACACACACACACACACACACACACACACAAACATGGATGAATCTGACAGACAGAATATTGAGTAAAAGAGGGTATGACTCCATTTTTATAGAATTCAAGAGCAAGCAAAACTAATTTATGGGGGTAGAGGTCAAAATAGTGTTTACTTCTGGGAGATAATAACTAGGAAGGGGAACAAAGGAAACTTCTGGGGAGCTGGCAACGTTCTGTATCTTGATCTGGAGGGTGACTGCCCAGATATACACATACATGTAAGGATTCATCAAGTTGTGCTCTAAAAATTGGAGCACATTACTAAATCTCAAGAAGTTAGGGAAAAAGTGGTATTTCAAATCCAGACAATTTCTGGGTATGGCTAAGTTATTTTTACCCACCCACATCCATTCTTCTCCCTTAATCTGGAAGGAGCCCCATACTTTCCTCTTTTCTCTTTCAGTCAAATGTTTTAGGTGGAGCTCACTCTTTCTCAGTCCCCAAATCAGGAGCCTAGTTGCAGTGATTGATTTAAGAATAGGAACAGGGCCAAGCTGGTTAATGAATGAATCCCAGAATTTTTTGTTGGAACTAGTAGGAAAGAAGATCTTTCCAACGGAGCTGCCTCTCCAACAGGAGACAAGCCTGGAGCTGCCAGTGGCCATCTTGCTGCCTTCTGGGGGGAGTTGGCCTGAGAAAGAGGCCACACAGAGGAAAGCAGAGTGAGATTAAATTCTTCCTGATGACATGTGTCAGAACCTGGATCTAGCCATCTCTGTACTGAAATTTTTCATTAGGTGAATCAATATACTTCCTTGTTTAGCTAACCACTTTGATTTCAGTTTCTTACAGTTATACACTGGAGTGTAATACACTGGGAATCTTGGATAAAATTATGAGAACTATGGGGGAGCTTGGAATAAAAAGTAACCACTGACCCCTGTCCAATCTATTTTGTGGCTGCTTCTTCTATGAGCCCATGGCCCTGCCAGAAGGTGGGTGAGGCATGCCCAGGGGTTATATGGGAAGGATTCTGGTCCTTTATGGAAAGGGTTCTGGACTAGGAATCTAGATAACTGGATTCTACTCTCCATTTTGTTGCTTCTTAGTGGCAGGACGTTGGGCAAAATACTACACCACTTTGACCCTTTTCTATGAAATGGAGTATCATTACCTACCTCAGAAGGCTATCATGCAGATCAAATGCAAGTTTCCCAACCTCTCCAGCTTTTTCATACCCTGAGGTGAGTTAGGACCTGCATCCTGGGCATTCTTGCTGTGCCCTGTAGGACCCTCAGACCATTGCCATAAAGACCTCTCAGAGGATGTGAGCTTCCCAAGAGCAAGAAAGTGTTCATCCCTGTGCCCTCTTACTAACTGGGCTGGGCACACAGCTAACAGGGACTCCTGAATCCAGACTAAGGTCTTGCAGGCCAAAGCTCATGATATGGCGGCCCACCCACTCTCTGCCCTTCATTTCCTTGTGTGATAGATGAGGCTGATTCGAATATCCCGGATAAATTAGAAGGACTGCAGGGAAATTGCTGAGACAGTCTGGACTTTGGAAGCTGAAAGCTGAGAACCCACCATGGGGGCCGCATAGGGCCTTTCCCTGCTGGTCAAAAGCAGGTGCCCAAGAACAGCTTGCTGAGTGAAGAGTAGGAGCTGAAGTTGCCTGGGAACCTTCCTTAGGTCTGGCTGTCTGCCTGAAACTAAGGTTGAACAAAAGACTCCTGAGGCCGTCACACTAACTGCTTCCCTAGCTCATTTCTGGGTCATAGAAAAGCTTCCTTCAAGAATCTCTATTAAGTCCATGGTACAAACCTAGTGCTGAGTAAGAGCTGTGAGGGAAAAGGCCATCTTTCCTCATATTCATTCATTCATTCATTCATTCATTCATTCATTCAACAAACACTTCATGACACACCACTCCACATTAGAGAAGTTGAGATGAAAGGGGCTAGGTCTCTGCCCTGAAGGGATTAGCCTAGAGAGAGCCATACTGGACACAACCTACATTTTGCCTTCCTTGTCTGTTTCTTGTCCTGCTCCCCTGCATTCCTTCTCCACCTAACAGCCAGAATGATCTACTCAAACAAAGTAGATCTCAGCTTAAACCTTCTAAAGAACCCCCATAAGACCCTCTGTGACAGGGGGAGATGGATAAGTGGATGAGGTTGTATTAAGTTTAGGGCACCCGGGAAGGCTTCCACAGGTTGCCAAGTAATTTAGATATTTATCTTGGTCCCACCTTCTTAGATCAGTATTTAGAGCCCTGGGAGTCTGAGAGGGTTGAGGGTGAGGGGTCAAGACACATATACTAGATCCAACGGTAATATGGCCCCAAATCCCAGGTTTGTTAATTTGCAGTCTGGCTCATGGGAGAAATTCTTTATTTAGATGCTTCAGTGATCAAGAGACAGAGCATAAGCACGCGCACACACACCCATACACAATACATAAAGGCATTTCACAGGCAAAGGGATAGGCAATGGGAGTTTGAGGGGGAAGAGGCCAAGAGAGCAGCTAAGGGGCTTCTTTGACTCAGTGAAGGGGGTCCTATGATGGTGACACTCCTTGGAATTCCTGCTTGAAAGCTACAAGGAAATATCCACTCCCAGTGAAATCCCAGGCCATAAAACACAGAAGAGTTGGAGAAATCTAGGTTTGGGGCCTGGGGAACATCTGTTTCCTCACTGCAGAAACCTGCACCAGCTCTCCTTCCTTTCCCTGGTACCCAGGAGTCCCCTGGTAGATAATGGAAGAGGGCTAGCACCACAGCAACCTGGTCTCCTGCACGAGGAGAAAGAGAGGGCTAGTAGAGCCAAGGGGCAGCAACGGACCTTTGAGCTGGCTGGCACGAGATAGTTCACCTTTAAGGGCACAGAATCATCAAGGGAATTTGCATGTGGGGGCTCTCCCACATGACCCTGGGTCAGAGCACCTCTCTGACGGAGGAGGGGGAAAGGACCCCCTTGCAGTTTTCATAATCCCACTGGATACTGAGGCCTTCTCCAACTCTAGCTTTTCCCCAGCTGATGCAGATCCTTAGCACCATTCAGGAACTGTGGAGAAGAGGCAGGAAGGACAGCACTGCTCTGTGTCATTGCTCTAGGAGGAGACTTCACAGTGGGCAGAAAGCTGTGTAATTGGCCAGCATCTGGTCTCAGGCTCAGGAAAGCCTGCACTTTTTGGGGAAAGGGAGTGCGTCATATTAGCTCCAAGCTCCCGTGGGACAGCCACTTCCATCTGCCCTTTCCCACCTAGGCTGAACTCTGGTGTGAAAGCTCCAGGTTTCACTGCAGCTGCCTGGAGCCCAGGGACAGCACAGTTCTTTAGCCACAGAGACTGGCTCAAAACTGACCTGCAAAGGAAAGACAGGCCTGGGGCTCATGACATATGGCCCAAAGAGGCTGGGTAAGGGGAAAGGCCATCCTCCAAACTACTATTCTGTGAGGCCCCAAGTCCTTTCAAGATCCACTCCCTTCCCTTGTCCTGACCTAGAGGGCTCATTCCAAAGGGGAAGAGCAGGGGTGGATTAGCCTGGACCAATCAGAGGCTATCTGTGGCCCACTCCTGCCTGAGGCCTGTGTATTCTCCAGGTATAAGAAAGGAGGAAGAGGGAGCCAAGGGCTGACCATGGTCACGGGAAGCTGGCTCACGGCTGGTTCAACCTGGGGTGCTGGACAGAAACACCTTTAATCTTCCAAGGTGGCTGGGTCTTTCTGAATGGGCTGCCTTTGCACTGGAATCTGGCCCAGGGGTGATGCCATTGTTTTTGGTGACCTGTAATTTGAGAAGGAATAAACACACAGGGTCAGTTTGTGGTGGTTATGATGGTGCTCCAGGTAGTTTCCTAAAAATAGTACAGCTCTTCCAGGGTCTTGAATATAAGGTGGCCAGGTATCCTTTACTGAGGGCCACTGCATGCTGGGCACAGTGCTGGGTGCTTTGCTTCTAGCATCCTATTTCATCATCATGGCAATTCTACAAGGCAGGGGATAGTGGATGGTACCCCTATTTCATATATGAGGAAACTAAATTAGAAATTGTAAGTTACCTGACTCCAGTAGGATTTTTATTGTTGTTTATTTTTTAATTTTAAAAATTAAATAATTATGTTGTTTTTGCTTTTTAAAAGTGTGGTTGATTTAGGACAGCAGCCCACATCTCTCCACTACCAAACCATTTATTCTGCCTACAGGGCCCTGTACGATCTGGATAGTACAGACTGATCATTTTCCCCCTCACACTGAATCAAAGTGGCTCTCCAGTCACCCTATCCCATTTTCTGGGTACCTAATAATATCTGATATTGTCTTATTTGTTTATGGATTTGTTTAGGATCTGCTACTACCACTAGATAGGGATCCAAAAAATCAGGGAAGAGCACTAGTGCTCCTACTGTAGCCCTAGTGCTCCAAATAGGACCTAACACATAATAGGTGCTCAATAAATATTTGTTGAATGAAAGCTTACCTCTAATAGTTCCCTTTTTGGTACCAGCACTCCACATACATTATCTCTAACTCTCAGGTCATCCCATTAGGTGAGGATAATGAGCTCCATATGGAATGGCAGAGCAAAATAAATGTACTTTGGAATCAAAAGGTTTGAATTCTGGGTCTAATTCCAAGTAACTAAGTGGCTCAGGCAAGTCACTTAACCTACCTGACATTAGGTTTCCTGCGGTCATAAAGTGGTGTGTGTGTCTTAATTCAGAGCTGCTACTGTGAATTAAATGAGATTAATTTAGGTATGCAACAAATTGTTAACTATAATCTTACAGAAGAGGAAGTGGAGGCTCAGAGAGGTTTACTGACTCACCCAAAGTCACATAGCTGAAAACATAGAAAGAAAACAGTAAACACTAGCATTTTCAAGACTGGGTAGCCCCAGGCTAGGACTCTGGTTGCCTCCAGGTCATATGCTGAAACTGCCACCACTCAAGCTGCAAGGGAGGTATGCTGAAATGGGAGTGAGCCCACTGTGAGGGCTTTTCTCAAGTCCATATCTAAAAGAAGCCTCACAAGTCCTCAGATCTGCTGTAGTGTGGGAGAGGAAACCAGGCAGAGTAGAGAGGACCAAGGACATTTTAAGTCTAATGTTCTGTTTCCACCACCTTGAATTGATTCAGCATTGTGAGCAACGCAGAACTGACCATTAAAGTCAAAGAAATTGGTTTAGTATACTTGATTGCCTGAAACCCAATTTCCTCATCTGTAAATAGGGATATTTTCATCTAAGAAAGTTGTGTTGTAGCACGCTATCCACACTACCCAGTTCCCTTCTGAGAGAAAGCGTCAGAACTGCACGAGCACTCCCCTGATCCGGGCCCTAGCTTCCTCATATCACACAGTGCCACAACCTCCTTGTTAGCATGGTGCCCTAGAGAAGCATGCTATGAGCTGGGCAAGCCCCATTGTGAATTATAGGCTCTGTCTCATAGGATCACTTGGAATGGTGGTTGCCTCTGTCTATAATAATAATAATAATACCTTCTTCCTAGGGTTGTTGTGTGGATTACCTGAGAGAATTTGCTTGGCATATGCCCTGCAACAGAACAGGCGTTCAAAGAGTATTAGTCATTTTCAAGGTTAGCATGAACAGATGACTGTTTACCTCCTCCCGTCAAAGCCCGTATCAGAATTTGTAATATTTGTTATTTACTTGTTTGTTATTTGTCTCCTCTCATCAGAATGTAAGGTCACAAGAGCTGGGACTGGATCTGTCTTGGCCACCACCCAGAGGGTGTTCAGTAAATATCTGATCGATGAATGAACGAACCTGGTCATATTTGGTAATAACATGTAGAGGGAGCTTTAGCCATAGAATTGATGGCAGTTAATGACTGGATTCTTAGGCCAGTGATGGGCTTGGAGGGAGGGGAGCTCCCCTAGTGAGACTGCTATAGGGCAGGAAAGTACTTTGAGGAGACCACCAAGGAAAGGGTCTATGTTTCTCTACTAAAACCTTCAGTGGCAGGTCCAAAGGCTGTGGCAGGTCCAGAAGTTGATGGGAAGAAAAACTTACATGGGAGATACTTCTGTTAACTGACTGATCTTCTGTTGACTGAGAAAAGGCTGCCAGGATTCCATTTTAGCAAAGTAGTACCTGGCTCTATTTCGATTTAGAAGCCTTGAATTCTTATTGCAGACTCTTGAATTTCAAAGGATGATTACTCACTGGTTCTTGTGTTTGAAGCCGCTGACATGAGCTTGATACTGTTCTATGGAGTTCAGCACTATCTTACACGTCTTGCAGGGGTAACCCTTCCCAGCTGAAACACACATAAGAGTCAAGATGCTTAGTTATACAGGAACAAGGGACCTGGGGACTGCTGCTTTTGACAGCAAATGCCCTTCTGAGGATGGATGGTGGGGTGAGATTAGGTGGTTGGACCTGATGAGAATCCCAGGGGCCTCAGTGCTCAAGGGGGTACTGGCTGTGTACCTATGGGCTTCCTGGAGTTGGGAACCTCCTCATTCCCCTCTGTACCCCCAAGTCCCAGCATTGAACCTGGTCCAGAGTAGCTGTCTGTTGAGTAAATAAAAGACTGACATAACAAAGAGGTGACATTTGGTGTAACTGTCTTTTCTATCTTCACTGTGCTAAGTAGCCTCATTAAGGATGCCCTTCACTGAGAGATCTCTGGGAAACTGCCACTCTCCTTAGGCTTGCAATAACAGTAATTAATGAGAATGCCTGCGATGAAAATTAATATAGTCTTTCTACCTTGGGGCTCACAGACACCCTGTCTTACTACCAGGGCTGATCCAATGACAAAGTGGCCTTTGTCCACATGGCCAAGATATGGAGCTGGACTCCTGGCTCTCCCTTCATGTGATCTTGACTAAATCCCTTCCCCTTTCTGATCCTCAGCTTTTCTCAACTGTAAGGCAATTGTACCATAACTTATAGCCATATTACTTATAAAATAAAAAGCAGTATCATTAACCAAGTACCTGATATAGGCCATGCATGCTATATAATTTTGCTTGGCCCCCATTATGATCCTGGGAAAATCATTACCATTATTTTATAGAGAAAAATAAGGCAATGTCACAGGTATAAGAACACAGAGTTAGTAAGTGGCAAACTCAGGCTTGGCTGACCACAAAGGCTGTACTTATTCTAGCATGACAGATGTTAGCTGTACAAGAAAGGCAGCTGTACACATGACCTCAAGAGCCCTCTGGTTCTGACACTTTTCCAACCATCTGCCATCCTAAGTTTCACAGCTCTGGAGTGAGATCACCTAGGCTCAAATCCCAGCTGTATCATTTCTTACCTGTAGGACCACAGGCCAGTTACTTAACCTCTCTGAGATTTGGTTTCCTCATTTGTAAAAGTGGGGCTTCTCTGAGACTCAGGTTCCTTACCTATAAAATGAGGTTAATATTAGTATCAACCTCATAAAGTTATTGTAATGATTTAAATAAAAACATTTGACACATAGTAAGTGCTCAACAAATGTGAGCTCTTGTTACTAGTATTATTTCACTCTTATGGGCTCTGTGCATCAGTCTGGCAAAGAGGTGGAAAGTATCTTTTCACCCGCCTTCTATGGCAGCTGTAGCTACTGAGAACACCAATGATCTCCTCTACTCCAGTTAGCTAGCCAACATTCCCAGCTGCATTTGTTTCCTTTATATCGTCAGGTATTTCCTTTAAAGACACACCCCATTAAAGCATTTAAGGGGGAAATGATTGCAATTAGAATTCAGGTCCATTTTAGACATTTATGGCCAGAATTTGCAGAAGGCTTAATCTTAGACCCTCAGCTCTTCTCTCTAAAGTCTCTAGGGGTCTCATTCATTCTACTGTCTTTCATTACCATCTAAAATACATGAAGCTACTAATATTTAACAGTTACTGACCTACCAAAATGGCAATATCTCTAACTCAAACCTCTCATTTGAGGTCTAGACCTATATATTGAATTGCCTACTTGGATATCTCATGGGCATGTTAGCCTCAAGCTGACAAAACCTGGCTATGCACCTAATTGCTTAAGACTAAATCTGGTTATCATCTTCGACTATTCCCTTTCCTTTACTTCCCACATTTTTTTGGGTAAAGATTTTATTTTTATGTAATCTTTACACTCAACGTAGGGCTTGAACTCACAACCCCGAGATCAAGAATTGCACGCTCTACAGACTGACCCAGCCAGGTCCCCCTCACCTCTCACATATGATGGCCAAATCCAAACAATTCTTTTTTTTTTTTTTTAAGTTCATTTATTTATTTTGAGTGAGAGAGGGAGAAATGCAAGTAGGGGTGGAGAGAGAGGGGGAGAGAAAATTCTAAGCAGGCTCCACACTGAGAGCACGGAGCTGGATGCAGAGCTTGATCTTACAAACTGTGACATCATGACCCGAGCTGAAATCAAGAGTTGGATACTTAACCAAGCCACCCAGGTGCCCCTAAATCCTGATAATTCTACTTCCTACACAGCTCTTTAATCCATCTACTTCTATGTCCTCCACTGCTACCTTACTTAGTCCACGCTCCCATCCTCTCTAGTACGAATCACTACAGTGCTCTCATGGCTGGGGTCTCCCTACTCATCTTCCTCCCTATTCCAAACCATTTTCCACTTTGTAAGCAGAATGATCTAACAATGCTTAAATGGTCATTGGTTTCCCAATGCTTTTAGGTTAAAGGCCCAAATCCTTCATATGACCAACAACACCATGACTAGATGTTTGGTCATCTCCCCAGGATCATTTTGCCCAACATTATCCTCCTTGCACTCTGGGAAGCCTTTGTTGACACCTGCTCCCCGATTTAAGTTATCCCAGTTGTTTCCTTTCCCTTTTCTTTTTTTAAGATTTTATTTTTAAGTAATCTCTACACCTAATGTGAGGCTTGAACTTACAACCCTGAGATTAAGAACTCTGTGCTCTGCCAACTAAGCCAGCCATGTGTCCCATTTCCTTCCTTTTCGAAAGCTTGTCACACTTGTATTTGCTCAATGCCTGTCTTTTCTGCTAAACTCAAAGGTTCATGAGAACATGGACAGCACCTGTCTTGTTTACTATCATATATACAATGCCTGACAAATACTAGGTAAGAATTTAGCAAATATTTCTTGACCATATATAATTTTTTGTTTTTTTTTGAGAAAGAGTGAGCGAGTGCCCAAGTGGGGGAGGGGCACAAAGGGAAAGGTGCAGAGGGAGAGAGGAAGAATCTTAAGAAGGCTCCATGCTCCAACACAGGGCTCGATCCCATGACCTTGGGATCATGACCTGAGCTGAAATCAAGAGTCATACATTCAACTAACTGAGCTACCCAGCCACTCTAACTATATATGAACTTAACAAGACCTGAAAACCTATCCTATGCATAGTGGTTGAAGAGATTGGGGGGGTCAGCATGGGGCAGAGAAAGTAGACCTGTTCTATGTAGGAGGCAAGGCCCTCAGGGAGAGAAAGTGATGGGGTAAAGCAGAGGATTCTAGTAACCTGGGGGCGTGTTGAATGCTCTGACAGTTGGAAGGATCTGTCTGCCTGAATGATATGCAGGTTAGTTTTAACATTCTTGGATAAATAGAGAAATGTGAGCCAGGAATACAAAGCAAACTTCAAGTCTTTTATCTGCTTGGTAGATATTGCATCTTCTCCTTGGGGGAGAAATCTGGACACCCTGGGTCATCTCACATTTGACCCTTACTTGTCATGAGACACTTTGACAGGAGCCCCATGGAAACTATTCTCTGGACCCAACACAGAATTTGACCTGGATTTCAATGCTGGCTCAGCTACTGCCTAGTGTGGGACTCAGGACAAGTCACCTCATCTTTCTGATCCTAATGACCTCATTTGTAAAATGGGGAGAATCAAACTTGCACAGCAGAGCTGCTATGAGGATTAAATCGGCAGTTACACGTGTGAGTACCTAGCCTAAGGTCTGGACTATAGCAGCCACAGGTAAGTATAGGATGAGTGACTGACTGACTGAATGAATGAACAAGCTTCAACAAAGGCCAGTTGCTAACAAGCCTAAAACCTTTGCTAAGGTGGAATCCCAGTCAGCTGAAGTTGCTGCTTGCATATCCTAGGATCAACATCCACCTCTCTGGGTAAGAAAGGGGTCAGAATGAGTTCAGTGCCTCTGCTGATGTTCTGTAGTTGGAAACCTCCTGCCAAGTACACTCAGAGTTGGAGGCAGGAGGAAGGAGAGTAAGTTTTGGAGCCAGACAGAGCTAGAGACACATATTGATGTTCTCACTTATCAACATCAGGTCTGATCAGCTGTATGACCTTGAGCAAGTCACTCTGAGTCTCAACTTCTTTATCTGTGAAATGCAAAGATCATACCTATTTTTAGGAATGCTGTGGGAATTAAATTATAATGTATATATTAATATCAAATGGTGTGTGATGCCCTTGCCCCCTGCCTAGGTTTTCATGAAAAATTTTGGCTGATCTGTAAAGCAGTCAGATGCCTTAATCAAGAAAAAAGGATCTAGGATACAGTTTTAGGATTAATTATGGTAATCAACCTTAGACAAATGGAGGAGTAGATATAGGAAGGCAAGTTTGGCTTGAGATAAAAGAATAGAATGAAGGGGTCGGGGGGTGCCTGGGTGGCTCAGTCAGTTAAGAATCTGACTTCTGCTCAGGTCACGATCTCATGGTTTGTGGGTTTAAGCCTTGCATTGGGCTCCATGCTGACAGTGCAGAGCCTGCTTGGGATTCTCTCTCTCCCTCTCTCTGCCCCTTCCCTACTCACACTTTCTCTTTCTTTCTTTTTTTTTTTTTTTTTAATTTTTAATGTTTATTTATCCTTGAGAGAGTGAGAGAGACAGAGAATGAGCAGGGAAGGAGCANAGAGAGACAGAGAATGAGCAGGGAAGGAGCAGAGCGAGAGAGGGACACAGAATCTGAAACAGGCTCCAGGCTCTAAGCTGTCAGCACAGAGCCTGATGCAGGGCTCGAACCCACGAACCGTGAGATCATGACCTGAGCCGAAGTCGGACACTCAACCGACTGAGCCACCCAGACGCCCCACTTTGTCTCTCTTTCAAAATAAATAAATAAACTTAAAAAAAAAAAAAAAAAGAATGAGTACAAGTTAAGACAAGCAGCCTAAAAAGACAAGCAGCCTAAAACATGGCAACACCAAATGTTAAAAACAACTTATTTTTTAAAAGGGGAAGGACCTGGGTGGCTCAGTTAAGCTTCAGACTTAAGCTCAGGTCATGATCTTGCAATTGGTGGGTTCAAGCCCCGCATTGGGCTCTGTGCTGACATCTCAGAGCCTGGAGCCTGCTTCGGATTCTGTGTCTCGCTCTCTCTCTGCCCCTCCCCTGCTCATGCTTTCTCTCTCTCAAAGATAAATAAACATTAAAAAAAATTAAAACATGGCAGTGCCTGAGTCCTGGTAGTGGACAAGAGAGAGTAAGGATATGACCAGAGCAGGGCCAAATAAAGGACATCCAGGAGCTGAAGCAAAGAAGGGTCAGCTGAACAAGAACCTGGGTCATGCCAGCTGGATCCTGTGTTGTTTCTATCAGTCTCAAGCCAAAATAGGAGGGTCACAGAAGAAGGGTTCTGAGAAGCTTGGTTCTGAAGTTTCCAGACTCCTCAGCATGTGGGGCTGATCCTGTCAAAGGCGAAGGCACTGCATGTATGTGCGAACACTAAGTACTTAATTTTGCAGAGGTTTATAAAGCAGGGTCCTTCAGTGGCATTGGAAGAGCACTCCTTGGCACACTAATAAAGGGACCTCCCTTTGTTTCACAGCCACCATTTCACACCCATCTCATCAGTGTCAGTATTGTTCAAGGACAACCTGTGTTGTAAGGCTGCTTTTCTCCCCTTGTTATATGCGGTCTGGAACACCTACAGCATCTGGGTGTTCACCTTTCCAGGACTGTGGCAAGAGCACAGATGACGCCGAGCAGCAGGTTCCCTGAGGCCAAGTTGTGTGTACTTGGATGCCATGGGGGCCTCAAGTGTTGACTGTCTGGTGCTGTATCTCCATGGCCCGAGTGGAAACCTTGAGGACTCATATGAATGCTCATGTAGGTTCCACGAGACAGGCACTGTGTCAGTCTTGGTCACTACTGTACCCTAATGAGGGTACACGGTAGGTGCTCAATAAATATTTACTGACTGAATGAAAGAGAAAATAACAATCCCCCCTCTCCCACTCTTACTATAAGCCCCGAGTAGTTAATATGATGGGAAGGGCTCCTAACTCTTCACGAATGCTTACTCCTGTGACGGTGACTGGCATCTAGAAGCCAGGGAAAAGCTAATGTTCTCTGGGTCAGAGTGGTGTTCTTCACCACACTATCACAGGGATATAGGCAGGCCTCAACTGCTGAGAAGTAAGGGGCCCTGAGGACACTCTAATAGCTGGCAGAGGCTGCTGAGAGCCTTCACACAAGGCATGTGGATGACAGGGAGCTTAAATCAGAGGTTGCAAACTGGCAGCCCTTGGCCCAAATGTGGCTTGCAGACAGATTTGACTCATACAGGGTTTAACATTTTTTAAATTTAGTAGCACATTTAAAACTGAGGGGAAGTTTTTTTAAGATTTTATTTTTAAGTAATCTCTATATCCAACACGGGGTTTGAACTCACAGCCCTGAGACCAAGAATTGCATACTCTACTGACTGAGCCAGCAAGGCACCCCTAAAAATTATGGGAATTCTTTTTTAAAAAAAATTTTTAAGGGGCGCCTGGGTGGCTCAGTCGGTTAAGCGTCTGACTTCGGCTCAGGTCATGATCCCACAGTTTGTGGGTTCGAGCCCTGAGTCGGGCTCTGTGCTGACAGCTAGCTCAGAGCCTGAAGCCTGTTTCAGATTCTGTGTCTCCCTCTCTCTCTGACCCTCCCCCATTCATGCTGTCTCTCTGTCTCTCAGAAATAAAAACATTAAAATAAATTTAAAAAAATTTTAAAAATATTTATTTTTGAGAGAGAGACAGAGTGTGAGCAGAGGAAGGGCAGAATGAGAGAGAGAGGGAGACACAGAATCCGAAGTAGGCTACAGGCTCTGAGCTGTCAGCACAGAGCCCAATGTGGGACTTGAACTCAGGAACCGTGAGATCATGACCTGAGCCAAAGTCAGACACTTAACCGACTGAGCCATTCAGGTGCCCCCAAAATGAGGTGAGTTTTTAAACAAATTTGACTTTCTAGATTCTTTTGAAAAACTGGAAGATATGGTAATAACTAACTGGAGCTGAATAGGAGAGGCATGTACTCTTCAGCTAGTCATATTCCCTCTTTCTTGGCTCTTTCACTTATTTTTATTTCCTATCTGGTTTCTGCAGGCATTTGAATTTGCAAGGCCTGCTTCAGGAGATATAAGGAGGCAAAGAGAGCCTTGGTAGTCTAGAGAACTCAAGTGGTCAAGCCCTGGTCCAGCTCTCGGTGTGAGTTGGGCCCCCTTACCTGATGAGTCAGTGACAGCAGGGTCGGCCAGCCGCCCATAGTGTGCCATGAGTTTGAGCTTGGTTTCTTGTTTCCTGTGTTTCTTGCCCACATAATGTTGTTGAGCCATGACAGGGTCGTTGAAAGTCGCATGGCAGAGGCTGCAGAACTTGTCTGGGTCTATCATTTCTCTATTCTGGTGCAAGGCTAAGGTGGAGGCCATAAGGAAAGGGTTTGTAAGGCGTTTCGACAGAGCTGCGGTGAGAGAGTTCAAACAGAAACAATGAAAAAAGACCCAGAAGGTGCCAAGCTTTCGAGTATGCTGAATGGGAAGAAAGGCTGGGCCTCTAGTCACACGTGCAGATGTAGCACTGCCTGTGTGAATCACACAGTGAAAGCCTTTTCTAATTGGGAAAACTGGCAAGATTTGGGGGAGCGCAAAGACCAGCTACTTAGGTCAGCAGCTTTCACTACTTTAGGCACATGAATCCTGATTTCCTCATGTTCTGAGGAGGCTCTGCATTTCTGCTGTCAAATTGTCAAATTATGACAGTCTAGCAGCGTATGTGTTTGTAGTCCTTTTATCCCTTAGAATTCTCCAGAGCTTCACAGCAAGTGGGACAAAAAACTTGGGTGTTTTATTCCCATCCTCAAAGTACCCTAGTTACAGAGCTGGGGGCCAATGCACAGATGTAGCTATTTGAGGGCCTGAGGACTGGGAGGGTCATTTAAAAAAGGTAACTGTACTAGGGAGGCCTTTTGGGTTATACTGTTTTTCAGGCTGAGTAGGAGACAGAGAGAGGAGGACACTGACGTTTAGTTACATGCTTTGTACATATATTTCCTCCTTTGGTCCTCAGAACTACCCCATTAGATAAATATCAATTTGCCACATTATAGAGAAAAACCAAGGCTCAGAATGGTAATGTGACTTGCCCGAGATCACCCTGCTAGTGAGTGAACCCATCTGTGTGACCCTAAATACTATGCCCTCTTCACTATGCCAGGCTGCCAGAGTGTGGTAGGGAAACCTGAGGGCTATAGTTCATGCTTTCACCTTCAGAAAACATCCCTGGCTCTGGTCAATGAACTCAGGTAATCAGAATCTGTTATGAGTCCCCTGTGGGTCAACAAATGTCCTGATACTCATGGCAGGCCATACTGCTGCTTCATAAAGTGGATGCCAAGACTCACTAATGAGTCCATGTGGATAGAATGGTGTCAACCCAGTAACCACTGCTTTAAAAATGTGGACTAGACCCCCCACCAATGGTGGAAGAGAAGTGGGGCTCAGCAGCACACATACAGATGGCTCAGATGCTTGTTCATCTGTGGACCACTTCAATGAGGGAAGTTTTGAAATTTTTGAGCAAGGCAGAGGAAATATGCTGGCTTCCCCACAATGAATCTCAATTTCCCTGACCACTGACTTTCCCTGGCCACTGTCTCACAAAGTCACTTGAAAAGTAGAATATTTGATAGTATGAGAAAACATTCAATATGTGGTGTTATGTTAAAAAGAAAGCAGGTTATACAGCAATCTGTTTCTTATGTCCTCAGTTTTGTAAAACAAACAAACAAATATGGTGATGCATGGAAAAAAAGGTCAAAAGCATACAGTAAAAGGGTGCTTTTCAGTATTATCCAACTTTTCTACAATGAATGTAGATCTCTGACATCAGAAAAGAGACAATAATGGTCATTAAGACCATTTTTTATGATCATGGTCATAAAAGGCCATACTTTAAAAGATACTAAAGCATCAGAGGTGAATGGTTAAGTTGCAGGAATCGCTTCATGGACATCCAAAAAATAACTATGGGTGTCTTCTCTCAGGAGATAGCCTGAAATATGGAAAGACTATTCTACAGGGATGTTTGCTGTACTGTTATTTATGAATATCAAAAACGGGAAAGGGGAAAATTTTCCTCATTAGAGGAATGGTGTTATGACGGGATATTACAAAGTCATTAAAATGTTTATGAAAAAGTTTTTAACATGGGGAAATACAAATGTTATATTAAACAGAGAGAAAATAAAAGAAAATTACAAAATGATCTTATCATTGTTAAAAGATATAGGCAAAATCATATGTGGTTACTAGTATTTTGAAATATCACTAATATATTAACAGTGTTTCTCTGTGGTAGGATTTGGGTGATATTTTACTTTCTTCTTTGCACTTTTTTGCATAGTTTCAGCTAGAATTATTCATAATGAGTATGCACCATTTTTTATAAATATGATAAGGTTAAAGTATTCTATGTCTATATGCACATATATATGGATTTAACCTGTACATACATAAAACTATACACACATACACAGAAAAAAGATTACAGGAGAAACAATACTCCAAAATATTAACAGTGGTTATCTCTGAATGGCAAGATTATGAGTACTTTTTCTTTCCATATACCTATATTTTCCATATTTTCTACAACATGCTATAACTTTCACATTAGAAAAGTGTTTAATTTCATAAATATAGTTATAAACTCATGTACAAACATGGAAATGTGCTTCAACTACAAAATTCAATGGAAAGTAAAAGCAGGATACAAATGGTACTTGGACTATGATTACAACCATATAAAAACGTATCTGTATGTGGCAAAGGCTGAAAATGAATACGGAAAATACCTCTTAAGTATGGAATCTTTGGGACCTGGCATATTCCAGGGAAATTTCCCATTTATGGAAAAAATCAATCCATATAAAATAAATAACCTTATAAAGTTCTGTTCTTAAGCTATTTTCCCTTGGCCTAATGTTTTAATCATTTTGGTACCATGAAACTGACTTAATATTAAGTTTATTTACTTTTTTAGTAATTCTACACACAACATAGGGCTCGAACTCATGACCCCAAGATCAAGAGTCATATGTTCCACTAACTGAGCCAGCCAGGCACCCCCAACACTGACTTTAAACAAAAGCAATTAGTACTAGTATAACTTAATGATGAACAAACCATAAGCAAGGTCAATGACATTCTCCATGTGGTGGATGCCTGACCAAATATTTCATTTTATAAGAGGATTCCATTTGTGGGCTATCTTGATGATGGTGATAATACTAATGATAGCAGCTGTCATTTACTGAGCATCTCTTATGTCCTAGGTTCCTTATATGTATTTCATCCTCACAACCTTTAGATACTATTATTAACATCTTATAGGTGAGGAAACTCAGGCACAAAGAAGTTAAGTCATATAGATAGTAAATAGCAGCATCAGGATTTAAACCTGTGTGTCTGTGGCTTCAAAGTCCATATTCTGTTGTTTCATAGCATGAATAACTAGATTTGGGTGTGTTAATAGGGTATAATTATGAGTAATTTTTCACCTTATCTTCAAAGTCTTCCAAAACATTGTTGTCTTGTTTTCTTAATACAGTACTATAAAAAAGAGTTATTATAAATAGTATAGTCAGTCTACTTCTTGGTCCAAGATAAAGAAGCAAAAATTACAAAGAAAAAAAATGACATAAAAATCAAAGAACTTTCACTCTTGACTAACTGCACTTAGTGGAGGTTAAAAAAGTCCCAGAAAGTCAGGAGTTAATGAGATGAAAGTGAGGGCTGAGCACCAGTGGTGACAAGATAAAGGGGACTATTTTATAAGTCACCGCACTGGGAATGAATTCATGGCAGTTGCAAACACGGCTTGCTGGGCAGTAGTGGCAGCACTGAAGTATTCAGCTTTCAAAAGCAAGTCCCAGTCTTGAGGAGAACAGGCAGCTTTGAGGATTAAAGTGAACAGGGCATAACCTGAGCACACGAAAAAGACAAGGATTTAGCTTTCAACTTGGAACACATGGTAATAATGGCAGGTGGATACTGGGAGGGAAACATCTAAGTGGGAGAGGTAAGAGGTAGAATGCTCTCACGGTATGCAAGGCCTGGAGACTTTGACACTCTCGATTTTAATTATTTGTCAGGACAAAAGCTCAGGGCTAAGATGCTTCTACAGAGAAAAACTGATGTAACCAAAGAAAAGGGAAGTTTGGTGAGCACAACTCTGAGACTGCATTTCAATCCAGCTGGGTCTACTTTGGTATTTTTAAAGACTCTCTAAAGCAGTTTGACCTGTCCAAGTCTGTGGCCCGAGTGAGCATTCTGGGCATTGGCGCTGGTGCCCTGAGGATGGGAGGGGTACCGATATAGCACTACTCAGGAAAACCAGTACCTTCCACCTTAGTGGATTGCTGCTTCAGCTTTAAGTTCTTTGCGTGGGTCTTCCCCAGGTAGTGCGACTGGGCCACGACAGGGGAGGAAAAGGTCATGTTACAGATGGGGCAGCACTGGTTCTTGTCTTTGCTTCTGCTGCTCTTCTGGTTGGGAGAAAGAACACAGGTCTGATCACGCCACTGCCCAGGCAGAAAATCTTCCATGGTTCCCCATTGCCCATAGAAGAATGGGCATTCAAGGCCCCCTTCACACTAACCCCAACCTACCTTTCTGGATCCTTCTCCAGCTACTTCATTTTAGGCTCTACTCACCATTCCTCACTTTATTCCCTGTTACTTCCTTGCTTTGCTTGGGTCATTCCTGCTCCCTAAAAATGATCTTCCTTTTTTCCTGCCTGGCATATATTGCTTAGCCTTCCAGGCCCATATATATGTCACTTCTTCTGGGAGACTTTTACTCAAGAAAATCATTCAGTACACAATTATTGAGCTGCTTTGTGTGAGTATTAAGAAAATAATTAATCTTGTTCCTCCTCTGCATGCCCAGAGTACATTAAACAGATCTCTATCATAGCACTTGTCACCCAAACTGACAGTGTCATAGCTTAGGAGACTTTTCTGTGAACCAAAGTACAGTGTTTGGGTATGGACCATTGGACTCATCTTTGTTTCCTATCCTTAGCATCCTGCTGGAGTCTGGCATACAACAGATACTCAGGATTTGTTGAACAAGCAGATTTTGGATTGTATTTGTTGATTGTGATTATACCAGAAAACAATTTATTTCAAGCCTATGTTAAGAGCTCCCAGACTGTCTCTGAGGTCTGATCTCTGACCAAAGCATTCATTTCTAAGAGCATTTTTCAATCTTGGCATTAGTGACATTTTGGAGTAGATAATTCTTTGTTGCAGAGGAAGAAGAATGTCAGTCACTTCATTTGAACTACTGGGCCATCCTGGGAGTTGAAGGAATCAAGATACAAAGAGGTAAAGTGACTTGTCTAGGGTCCCAGAGTTGATCTTGTCTTTCTAAATTCTAAATCATAAGCAGAAAGGCAACTAGGGGATGGGTCCAGTGAATTTGGAGAAGGGATGAGCAAGGCCTTTTCAAGCTTGTGAACACTGTATTAGGAGGCAATCTGTAAATTTTCATTCATTGAGCATCCACAAAGAATTGTAATTTTACTTCACAATACCCTTAAAAGGTAGGAATTATTATCTTCATTTTATGGATAAAGTAGAGAGGTTAAGTGATTTGCCCAAAGTCACCAAACCAGTAAGTTGCAGAGCTAGTATAGGGCCCTAGTCTGCTACTTCTCATCCCATGACATTTGAACAACCTCCCATGAAACAAAAATAATGGTAACCCTGAGGGATTAGGATTGATTCAACATAATTCTCTCAGTATTTCTAAACCAAAGAGCAAATGCATTTACATTTCAATCAGAACAGGTACTTGGAAAGGTGTTTCTCCCACTTGTTTATTCAAAACATTCAAGTGCTAAACTCAGCTCTTTCCCTCCCATTTCAAGAAAGCAAGCAGGCTGGCTTCCTTCCACTTTTTCTCCTTGTGTAGTAAATAAGCAGCTTCCTGTCCGCTTCAATAAACCAGTGGGTGGTAATGCATAACAATGGCTCCATCTACTGAGGTGCTACTATGTGTTTGGTGCTTCTGATAAATCTTCCTTCATTTTAGTTTGGAAAAATCCTAAAATGTTGATATTAACATCCTCATTTTTATGGAGGAAGAAATCAAGGCTCAGAGAAGTAACAAGACTTGTCCAAGTCACACAACATGGCCAGGATTTGAAGCCAATTAAGTCTGCTCAAAGCCCACATTCTTTTCACCACACCAACCTGCCAGCTGGCCTCATCAGGAAGCGAGCGGTCTCAACATGGCAGCTGGATTACCTGATCTGAGTCTAGCTTCTTCGTTTCCCCCTTTAATGTCTCCATTCCATGGATTGCTAGGTATCTCTTCACTTTGTTGGCATGTTTTTTGCTCTGCAAGAACCCAGGAAAAAGATCAAAGATAGCCAAATGCCATTTCATATCTAATAAGGCACTCAAAAATACTCGATTTTCATTTGATTCATCCTCACTAAAATTTTGAGGAGAGGGTGGGGGAAGAAACCTAGTTTATTGAGTTTATTGAGTTCCTAGTTTATTGTGTTCAAGGCACTTAAATGCTATCTTCACAGCAATCTATGAGAAAATTATCATCATCTATTGTACTGATAAGGAAACTAAAGGTAAAGATGGTAAGGTTTCTTGCCCAAGATGAGCAGCAGAGCTATGATTCTAACTCAGGTCTATTTAAAGCCAAAGTGCATACTTTCTACTGTATGAAGTTGAGAAGGAAGATGTAAGTATAATGATCCTAATTTGGATGGGAGAAATGAGATACAAAAAATTAAGTCAACCTTCAAGTCACAGTCAACAGGCATGAAGGTGATGTCTGGGTGGCTAAGAAGGAAGTGAGGGCTTTGCACGGAGTGTGGAAAGTAAAGTTTTTCTTTTTTTGGTGGGGAGGAGTAAAGTATTTATTTATTTATTTTTATTTCTAGAGAGAGAGAGAGACAGCATGAGCAGGGGAGGGTCAGAGAGAGAAGGAGATACAGACTCTGAAATAGGCTCCAGGCTCTGAGCTGGCAGTCAGCACAGAGCCCGACGCGGGCTCGAACCCACGAACCGCGAGATCATGACCTAAGCGAAAGTCAGACGCTTAACCGACTAAGCCACCCAGGTGCCCCAGGAGGAGTAAAGTATTTAAAAGTACAGTGGCATACCTGGTAGTGTGCCAGCTTCTGGGACTCAGAAATGAGCAAGGCGCAGCAAACCTTACACTGAGTATTGGTAAAGAGACACTGGTTCTTCTGGATCATGTGCTCCACTACAGAGAGGAAAATAAAAAAATCTTTGAGTTAAAAACCTGCTTCAACAGTGCTGTCTTTGAACCCTGTCTCAAACACAGGCATTGAGTAATGGAATACCATACCAGCATATCTCGGCAAATTTTTGTCACCCCTCCCCTATGTTTTCATGACCCATGCTATGTTCTCACATCACTTACATAATTACTTATTTTACAATCTTGTGTAAGGCAATTTTCTTTACTAAGTAAATTTTTTTGATGTATAATTGACATATGACATTATATTAGTTTCAGGTGTACAATGTAATGATTTGATATTTGTATATATTATAAAATGGTCACCATGATAGATCTAGTTAACATCTATTTATAGTCACCATACATAGCTATAAATCCTTTTCTTGTGATGAGAACTTTTCAGATTTACTCTCTTAGCAACTTTCAAATATATAATACAGCATTATTAAGTATAATCACCATGCTATAAATTCTTTTACAAAGGAATCTTTAAGGGTCCCTGGGTGGTTCAGTTGGCTAAGCATATGACTCTTGATCATGGCTCAGGTTATGATCCCACGGTTGTGGAACGGAGCCCAGTGTCAGGGCTCAGAATGAAGCCTGCTTGAGATTCTCTCTCTCCTTCTCTCTGTGCCTCTCCTCTGCTGTTTTTTTTTCTTCATTCAAAAAAAGGAATCTTTAGATCACAAACTTAAAATAGATACCAATAAAAATGAAATAATTCTAGCCAGACACTGGTGACAGAATCTTGGAGCTCTCCCTGAAAAGAGTAAGAGAGCAGCAACTATGAAGAGAGGTGTTAAGACACGGCAGCACCTGAGACTTTTTCCCAGATAGAAAGATTGAAAGACTTGAAAAGGGAAGCATTTTTTCATTTGTTTAAAAATTGTAATAATAAATTTTCTTTTTATTATTTGTGAACATTTTCTGTGGAATTAAAAGTAAAGCCACTCCCAAATTTATTCCACTAGAAGATCAATAGCATTTTCTGATATTTCTATTTATTTTATTGTATTTTGTTTTTTAAATATTTTATTTTTATGTAATCTCTACACCCCATGTGGGGCTCAAAGTCACAACCCAACATCAAGTGTTGGATGCTCTGCCTACTTAGCCAGCTAGGTCCCCTGCAGCTTCTGATTTTAAGAATTTACATTGGTATAACTGTACACTCAGAATTGGTTAGAAAATTGTATTGGGGTTTAGTTATTAAAAGACTAGAACATTCTTGGGGCGCCTGGGTGGTTTAGTCGGTTAAGCGTCCGACTTTTGCTTAGGTCATGATCTTACAGTTCGTGGGTTCGAGCCCCGCATCGGGCTCTGTGCTGACTGCCAGAGCCTGGAGGCTCAGAGCCTGGAGCCTGTTTCAGTCTGTGACTCCCTCTCTCTCTGACCCTCCCCTGCTCACGCTGTCTCTCTCTCTCGCCTAGAAATAAATAAAACATTAAAAAAAATAAAAAAAAAAAGACTAGAACATTCTTATAAAAAATTTTTTTAACGTTTATTTACTTTTGAGAGACAGAGAGTGACAGAGAATGAGCGGGGGAGGGGCAGAAAGAGAGGGAGACACAGAATCCTAAGCAGGCTCCAGGCTCTGAGCTGTCAGTAGAGAGCCTGACACTGGGCTCAAACCCACGAATCGTGAGATCATGACCTGAGCTGAAGTTGGACTCTTAACTGACTGAGCCACCCAGGTGCCCCAGAACATTCTTTTTTATTGAAATAATGTGAGTTTGTTTATTAAGGAAACATAAAAATTGGTTTCTTTTGAATAAATCAGAAGATTTGAAAAGTAATTTTGGAGGATAAGTATCAATTAGAAGATGCTGCTGGATGATCTTTTACCTTCAGGAGAAAAGGTAAATTAATCCTGGTATTATACAGTAAACATAAACTATAATCTAATACTAGTTAAATGTGTATGGTACAAATCATGGTTAGGGTCTTAGGTTCCCCAAGCATGCTGACTTGGGTTCAAATTCTGCTGCTATCAGTTATTGTCACTGTGTGATTTTATAGAAATTACTTAATCTCCACCTGTGGTTTTCCTTGGTTTAAAATGGGGGTACAGAAGTCCTCCCTCATCTACAGTTTCACTTTCTGTGATTTCAGTTACCCACGGCCAACTGTAGTCTAGAAGCAGATGATCTTCGTTCTTACATATCTTCAGAAGGTCAGTTGTATGCTATTGACATAATGCTATGGCACAATGCTTATGCTATTCACCTCACTTTATCTCACCATATAGGCATTTTATCATTTCATATTACCACAGGGCAAGTACAGTAAGTTTGAGAGAGAAACAGAGATACCACATTCACATGAATTTTAGTACAGTATATTGTTATAATTGTTCTTATTTTATTAATAGTTATTGTTGTCAATCTCTTACTGTGCCTAACTTCTAAATTAAACTTTATCATAGGTATGTATGTATATATAAAAAAACATTGTATATATAGGTTTTGGTACCATCTGTGGTTTTAGGAATTCAGTAGGGGTCCTGGAATATATCCCCCATGAATAAAGGGAACTACTGTACTGATAACTTGTATCTCACAGAATGTATTCTCCTTGTGGTTGTTCCATATAAAGCAGTGCAATGTTTGGCTTAGTACGTGCTCACTGTCAATTACATGTCAAATTCTTTTTTGAGTCTGGTGGTTTTAAGCAAATTAATTATTTTGTATGTTGTACCTGTGAAGGTTTTTTGTTTTTTTTTTTTTAAAGATTTTATTTTAGATAATCTTTATGCCTGACATGGGGCTTGAACTCACAAGCCCAAGATCAAAATTTGCATGCTTCACTAACTAAGTCAGCCAAACGTTCCAGGATATTTCTTTTTTTTTTTTAAGTTTTTTTTTTTAATGTTTGTTTATTTTTTTGAGAGAGAGAGAGAGAGAAAGAGAGAGAGAAGGGTATGAGTGGGGGAGGGGCAGAGAGGGAGACAGAATCTGAAGCAGGATCCAGGCTCTGGGCTGTCAGTACAGAGCCCAATGCAGCACTAAACTCCTGAACCTCAAGATCATGACCTGAGCTAAAGTCGGACGCTTAACTGAGCCACCCAGGTGCCCCTCCAGAATATTTTTTATTCTACAACTTGATATGTGTTAAAATTTTTCTCAGTGTTCTTGATCTGACTTTGAAACATCTAAAAATCACCTAACATATTACACAAGTTCTACGCTGTAGGAACCTATGATATTAACCTGTTCTTTTTAAATTTATTTATTTTGAGAGAGAAGAGGAAGAGACGGAAGGAGAGGGTGGGAGGGAGGAGAAGGGAGAGAGAGAAAGAAAGGGAGGGAGGGTGAGAAAGAGGGGAGATAGAGAGAGAAAAAGAGAACATGAGTGGGGGAAGGGCAGAGAAGGGGAGGGAGAGAGAGAAACTGCGAGATTATGACCCTAGCCAAAACCAAGAGTCATATGATCAACCAACTGAGCCACCCTGTCATCCCCATATTAGCTTGTTCTTAATCATTGGGCCTGGAGAACTAAGCCTTACCTTTGAGAAGGAAGGAAAATTTCAACCAAGGCATGAGTTCTATAATGACACCAATAATCTGAGGCAGGGGCAGAGTTCAGAAAACTGTGAGGGGACAACAAGCCCATGTTTTTTATTTTCTACTTTGGAGCAAAACATGGTCAAGATGCCCTGGAGGGAGGTTCTTTCTTGGTAGGAAACTTTTGAGGTGACTTTCTCTACAATATCTAAAGCTTATCTATGTCAGCCCTTTTGAGCAGGAAGGCTGTTGTCTGGCTGTTTTTCTGACCCTTAGAATCTCTGTTTATTTCCACATTTTTCTCCTACAGTGATTGGTAAACTTTTGTGAAAGACCTTGCCTGCCTCATCTGGGTCAGAGAAACCAAAGTGGATCTGTGAACAGATCTGGGCCAGAGTTTTAATTAACTAATTAATTAAAAATTAATTAATTAATTTTTAAGTAGGCCCCACACTGGGTGTGGAGCCAAATTCGATGCTTGAACCCACAAACCTGAGATCAAGACCTAAGCTGGTATCAAGGCTCGGACGCTTAACTGACTGAATCACCCAGATGTCTTTTGTTTTAAAAGAACTCTTATTTTAAAGGAAGGATGAGAGGCTACTCAGAATGCAAAGCCCAGGGCACCTGGGTGGCTCAGTTGGTTGAGTGTCCAACTCTTAATTTTGGCTCAGGTCATGATTTCACAGTTCCTGAGATCGAGCCCTGTGTCAGATCTGTGCTGACAGCGTGAAGTCTGCTTGGGATTCTCTCTCCCTTTCTCTCTCTCAAAATAAATAAATAAACTTAAAAAAAAATAAAAAAAGATTGCAAAGCCCACAAGGGGGAGATGGTAGCCAGGAGTCAGAGTCCTGACCTGGAGATGCTGGATTTCTTTTTGCTTTTAATTAAAGAAGATGAAATTCTTTTATTGTTTTAAATTTATTTCTTTTTTTAAAATAATGTATCAATGTTTATTTATTTTTGAGAGAGAGAGAGAGAGAGAGAGAGACAGAGAGACAGAGAGAGAGAGAGCAGGATCTGAAGCAGGTTCCACGCTGACAGAAGAGAGCCCGATATAGGGCTCAAACCCACGAACCATGAGATCATGACCTGAGCCAAAGTCCAACGCTTATCTGACTGAGTTACCTAGGTGTCCTGATGAAATTCTTTTTCAAAGATATTCAGATTCTGACTTCCAAAGACTAGACAGGGCAGGGGCGCCTGGGTGGCTCAGTCGGTTAAGCGTCCGACTTTCGCTTAGGTCATGATCTCGCGGTTCGTGGGTTCAAGCCCCGCGTCGGGCTCTGTGCTGACTGCCAGCTCAGAGCCTGGAGCCTGTTTCAGTCTGTAACTCCCCCTCTCTCTGACCCTCCCCTGCTCACGCTGTCTCTCTCTCTCTCTCCTAGAAATAAATAAAAACATAAACAACAACAACAACAACAAAGACTAGACAGGGCAGAGACCATGTTGTTTATTCACAGTATCTAGTATGATATCTGGCCCATAGCAGGAGCT